ACGAGGGGGAACCAGAGCTGGGGCTGGAGAGCAGACAGGCCCACAAGGGGGGAATAGCTGGGGCTGGAGAGCAGACAGGCCCACGAGGGGAAACAGAGCTGGGGGCTGGCAGCTGTCCTGCTGCCTGGGGTGTTGAGAGCTGTGAGTGGCCATCCTGGGGTAAAAAACACATGTGTGAAAATAATTTCCTAATTCTACTGAGAGGTGACATGGAACTGATGACCAACAAACAATGATCTGAGGAACAATCCCAAGAATCTACCTCAGAACTTTAGAATGTATAAATTTTGTTTCACATTTTGTTAAATTAATTAAAGTCTGTCACAAACCCAAATTTGAATTTTCTCTTTAGCTGAACATGTTAATCTTGAAATTTAGAAATTTAGATAAGATCTGTAGATCTTTTTGTTTTGTTTTGTCTTTTAATTTACACTATGTCAGTTTTTGAAATCTTAAGCTCTTCAAATTGATACATGGAATTTTTATTTCCAATTTGGGGAAGCCATGTAATTCCAAGCAAATGAGACCTTTGCCAGGCTGATGTGAAAAATCCCCTCAAGTCTCCAGCAGTCTGCAATACCCATCAGTATGCCAATAATACTGATTAAATGAATCAAGAAGCATAGTTCTTATAAATTTTGATTAAAAAACCCCCTATTAAAATGTTTAATTCTAGATCCTAAACACATTCTCACTTCAGATCACAGCCTTCAACAGTGCACTCTATACACATCTACACAATCCATTTTCCAACAAGAAATATACTGAAGGAAGAATGACTTTCAAAACAAACCAGCCTTAACCAGGCAGATGCCTTCGTGGTCAGTGAGCTGCCCCAGCATTCAGGATACAGTGAATGTGGAGGCCTGGTGGGGGGAGATTGAGGATGGGACCCCCAGGTAAAGGGTTAAGGTAGAAAAGGCCTAAAAAGCAAAAGATGGGCTTTTTATGACACTTCTACCCCCAACCCCAGTCTAACATCTAATAGGTCATCTAATTTAAGGAAAAAAAATATGAAAGAAGAGAATAATCATCTGACAATTTCTGAACAAGTATGACATAATAGCTTAAACACAGAAAATCCCTTTTGGGAATAAAAAATATGATCAGAATAAAGTTATGCAGAGTATAGTTCCTGAGGGGTAAACCGAGCTCCTTTCCAACAGTGCTCTGGTATCAACGCCACCATTCTGCCCCCAGGCACTCAGACCTGCTTTTATCATGCCCTCCTTGATGGGGACAAAATGATCAAGAATAATACCAGGTTTCTGCAGATAAATAGACCCATAATCTGGTCACAATCAGTTTTCCAGTTGACTTCTTTCCTACCAAATATTAACAGAAAATTTGCTGATAATTTATTTATTATGTGTCAGGCCCCTTATTAGGCCCCTGAATTCTTTCTCTCTTCCTTTTTTTTTTTCTGAATTCTTATCTAAAACACACAACAACCCTGTTAGTGAAAATTATTCCTGATTTACAGATCCAGAATCTGAGGCTCACAGAGCTTAAATGACTTGGCAAAGGTCACAAAGGCAGCATGGGAGGGCCCCAGACTAAAGTCAAGCCTGCCCTCAGCCTGTGAGAACCAGAGACTGTCCCCTGGGAGAGCCTGGCTCCTCGTCACGACAGTAGAGACTGTCCCCTGGGAAAGCCAGACTCCTTGTCATGATAGTAGAGAACGCCCCCTGGGAAAGCCTGGCTCCTCACCATGACAGCAGAGACCCTCCCCTGGAAAACCTGGTGCCTCATCATGACAATGACCTATGCTACATTGCTTGGCAGCCTGTCATAGTGCTCAACTTACACAGTCACAGCTCAACTCCTTTTTACTAAGAAAGAAGAGGATAAATGAGCATAACAAACAAATCCACTTAAAGTTTTCACTGTCTGCCAGCTCAGTATGAGTCAGACATATAATAAGGCTGTCAAAAATGTTGCTCAGTATGAAGAACAGAGAAGGAGATGGTCTTGCTGTGCTCTGAGCCACCAGACAGACCATACTTGGAGGTCTGGCACCACACCTCCGAGAGGCTATAAAGAAGCAGAAATTGTCCCAAGAGGAGGATGAGGGGGGTCATAGCAAACTCATGCTACTGAGAACAATTTGAATGAAGGTGAGGACAGTTAAAGAAGAGACAGCTGATGCTATGAGACAATGATGTTTAGGCCCCTCTGGGACTTAATCTATAGGATTTTGCATTTTGAAAAGGCTCTCCAGGCAACTCTAACATACACCTACACTGACATTTACGAATCACTGCATGAAGACAGAAGTTTTCAAAGGGTAACATTCATTAGAATCTCCTAGAAAACTAATAGGCCCCTCCCCTAAAATTTCTGATAAGCGGTCTGGGGCCTGATAATTTGCATTTTAACAAGTTCCCCGTGATGCTAATGCTGCTTGTCCAGGGACCACACTTTGAGAACCATTACTGTCAAGGAAGTCTTAGGGTTGACTGAACTGAGTTCAGATACAGACAGGTTTTGAGTTCAGATACAGACAAGTTTTGACAAAGTATAATAGAAACACTGTAAAGCAGTTATTCACAAAGCGATGAACTGCCTGGTGAGTGGCAGATGGGCCACCACCCATGAATGTCACTGAAGATGCTCATGCCAGACCTCGGGAAGAGGCAGCACCAGTGACTGGCCCATCTTTCAGCTGGCATATCTATGATTCTACCTGGCTAGAAGCATGCAAAAGAAAGTCAGTGTCCATTCTGAATAATATTTGTTCCCTTCAAGCAAACATACAAATTCAATTTTAAACTCTGTTATAAACTCGAAAGTAATACCCTTAAAAATAACTTTTTAATTCCAGTTAAGTTTCTACAGAGTGATCAGCAAAGTAATGGATGGTTCTTTCCATTTCACCAGTGGAGCAATGGAGACACCCCAGACAGCCCCCGGGCACTAGTGGAGCAATGGAGATCCCTGACAGGCCCCATGCACCAGTGGAGCAATGGAGACCCCTGACAGGCCCCATGCACCAGTGGAGCAATGGAGACACCCCATAGGCCCTGGGCACCAATGGAGCAATGGAAGCCCCTGATGGGCCCCAGGCACCAATGGAGCAATGGAGACCCCTGACGGGACTCATGCTGCATCAGCAGGATTACTGGAGAGGTGCACACCCAGGCCTGATGACACAGAGGAAGGGTGGACTCTGAGAATTGTGTGTAACAGCTGTGGGTTAAACAACAAAAAAAACAGAAATAAGTCCTTTATCCATGCTCAAGGCCTACTTAAAACGTTTCATTCTACATTTTTTATTTAGATTAGACATCATGATCTATTTATGGGACATAAAAGGTGAAGCAAAAGTTGATACAAAGAAAATTATGGCCTTAGCTCCTTGAAATACTCACTTTGTATTTCACCATAATTATTGCAACTGTGCATGTTTTAAGACTACTGACCAGCATTCTCCTATATATTACAGTACCCACTTGTGTACTATAGAACTAAATTCCTAATGCTTTACAAAGATTGGTCTTAAATATAAATTATTTTAATATTTTAAATATGAAATGTCCAATTTATAATTTATTGAATTTGCCAGCAAAGACTCTAGCCAACTTTTTTTTTTGGCCAGGCTCAAATGACTAGGTGACAAGGGCCAAATATGTGTCTTCAGCTCCTTAATTCCATGCAGCCTGTCTAAAATGGCATCTTACAACCCACCCTACAGGATGAGAAGGTGACATCCTCCCAATGCGACTTTCTTTTCACATTAACTCTGATATATCAATACTGAATTAAGGCCAGGTACAGTGGCTGACACTGGTAATCTTAGCACTCTGGGAGGCAGAGGCAAGAGAATCACTTGACCTCAGGAGTTTGAGACCAGCCTGAGCAAGAGCGAGACCTCATCTCTGTGAAAAAATATTAATAGAAAAAATTAACTGGGTGTTGTGGCAGGCACCTATAGTAGCTACTTGGGAGGCAGAGATTGGGAGGATTGCTGGGCCTGTGAGTTGGAAGTTGCAGTGACCTACTATGACACCACTGTACTCTAGCTGGGGCATGAGAGGAAGACTCTGGAAAAAATACCAAACTGAATTAATTATTTATGTTACAAACTTTTGAAATAGAGTCTTGAGGTTTTTATTGTCCAAATATAAGATCATCTTTCCATAGTTGCTATATTAACTATATAAAACCATTCCATCTTCTCCATAACAGTTATCCTTTCAGTTATTTTCTAGTATGTTTTTAAATCACAGTTATATAGAAGATCTTTCTGAATATTTCAAACATAATTAGCATTTCCTTATTAAACATTCAAGCATAACCTTGTTACACAAAGATTCTCAACCTCTTTTCCTAAATCTGAGCCCTTGAGTTTTAGATTGTTTTTAGAAGTCCCTTGACTTTGGGATGTCAAGGTGCCCTTTCAACAGGGTGGTTCTTCTGTAATCATTTCAGCCATCCCTCAGGTAGGCTTACAGGAAGAAGCCATACCCCCGGCCACCACCTTGCTCCTAAAGCCCTTTTATACTTTCCAACTTGAATGTCCAGAGGTCTGACCTGAAGTTGTGAGTCCACTCTAGGGTAAAGATGGGTAAGGGTCAGAGTGGACACAAAACCTTCCTGTGAGCGCCTGAACAAAGGAGTTTTTTTCATAGTCTCTGGCCTAAGGGATAAAGTTGAAACAACACTCTGGACATCTGGTCTCCTAGAAGCAGCTGAAACTGACACTTGCCAGTTGCCACTTGTCAATTCCCCTGGAGGTTTACTTTTGCCACTGTGTCAATCTAGCTTTATTTCTGCTTCTTTGCACTCACCTGTAGGTGGTTTCTGGAAGGAGATCTCTTACAACATGAGTGGTGGTATTGCCCACAGTAACGTTCGTGTCTCCAAGATCAATGTTATAAGCAAGGATTTCAGACCCATTGCTGCGTGGCGCTACCCAGGTCAGCACAAGGCACACAGAAGGTGAATCGGGATGGGTACCAAGGGGGTCCTCCTCCAAGACACAGAGCGCAGAGACGGGGTCAGGGGCAGATGCTGGCGTCTGGCAAAGGACAAGCTCACTGTACGGCCCTGCTCCTGCTTGATTGAAGGCCTATAACAGACAGTAAGACAAGGCCACAAGGCACCATTAGCACACGCTGAGGCCTCCAAGTCACCTGCCATTGGATAGAGCTAAAGTAGTACACCATTTACCTCTGGACAGATCAGCAGAAATAAAGCCTAGAAAATGCCCACTTCCATATGAGGGTCACTTTTTGAGAAATGACCTGTGTCCACCCTTGCCCCACAGTCCACACTCACAGCAGTCAGAATATGACCATTAAAACAGGAGCCAGGCTGTTTAGTTCAAATTCCTTTAGCAGCTTCAATCCAATTCAGAATAAACTTCAAAGTCCTTAAAAGGCTCGCAAGACCCTATTCTGATCTGCTCACTACCTTCACCTTCAACAAAACCCATTAGCACTTGCTTCCTCACGGGTCACTGCCCCTTCACTCAGTCCATGCAGCTGCACTGGCTCCCTGATGTCCCATGAGGACACCACCTTCACTCCCACCTTAGGACCTTTGCACTTGCTGCTCCTGTCCAGAAAGCTTCCCCCAGACGGCTACACAGACTGCTCAGTTATCTCCTCTAGGCCTCTTTTAAGTGTTGGCTTTCCAGCAAGCCATCTCTGGACATCACATTTAAACCTGCAATCCCTTGCACTACCCAGCCCCACATCCTCATTTCTTTGCTGTCTTTTATATCAGAGCACTCATTGCGGACACAGTATACAGCTGGTGTATTCACCTCCCCAAAGTGAATGCAAGTCATAGGAGGCCGAGGGTGTCTGTTTGCTTACCGCTATGCCTTGACTACGGGAAAAGTACCTGCTACCCATTACGAGATCAAGAAATGTTACCACATATATCTTTTTCTTGTAAAGAGAAAAATGTCTAGCGCCTTTTAACAAAAGTCAATGTGCTCTAAAGTGAGTTCTGATCAACTTCATAGGAAAGCTCATGAGGTCAAATCACAAAACTAAAGGAAAGTAGTCTGAATTCCTAAATGGCTGAAACTGAACTTGTGACTCCTTTATTAATTCAAAGATGTGAACTAGGAGTGTTTATTCGAAATCACAGCTGAAGCTCTGCTGTAGTATTTTGCTATATTTAGTCTTGTTTTATAACAATATTTCAACTTTCTTTTTGAAAGAATTTAAACATCACAAATTGTTTATGAGCATACACACATATATTTGAACATTTTGTTTTTGATATGTATTTATTACAGTGGGAGAAAATAAGACATGTGGAGCCCAAAGTTTGTATCAATTAAAGCTTTCTATCAGCTTATAACACAAAGAACATGGCTGCTAAGAAGTGGAGTTCAGTGAAACCTTGACTCCTTCATTTAACAACTGTGCGAACTTAGGCAAATGAATCTCTCTGAGCCTATTTCCTCAGCTGTAAAATGGGACATAACATCTAATTCAGGAGTTACTATAAAGATTAAATAAGTTAACATATAAAATCCTGGCATAGTGTTGGGCTGACATAGGTGATTCACTTCTTCCCCACTGGGAAATCATGTACAAATGACATGTTTTTCTACTTTTTCAAAACTTTATTTTTAACTAAATTTATATTTACAGAAAAGTTTCAAAGAAAGTACACATTTCCATGTATCTCCCACTTTGTTTCTCCTAACTTTAATAAATACTTTACATAACCACAGAATAATGAACAAAACTAGGAGTTATCATTGGCACCATACTATTCACAGCATACAAACCTTATTACAATCCTACCAATTTTTAAAATAATGTTCTTTTTCTATTATAGGATTCTACTTTCTTTTACACTGGGCTGTTTCTATGGAAAATACATTTTTGATTTACACCCTTACTATCACCAGTTTTCAAAGAAAACTTAGTTCAAAAGCATCTTTTTCTATTTCAGTATGCCATATTAATACAGTGTGCCTCATGAGTAGAATTACACATTGTTGACAAGAATATAAAAATTCAAAAATTCCTGAGCAAAACAAGAAATATTTTATCCAATCTTTATCACATAGCATAGATAGAAATTACAATGATTAATTTTAAGGTGCCAAATATTCAAAAGATATTCACATTTAAGTTGACTTTATAGTAATGTCTAATAAGTATAATTCACATTTGGTCCATAGAAACTAAGAAATGAACATACGTTGAGGAGACCCTATTCCTGGTAATACTTCTTTAGCATAGCAATTTTTTTTATTTTTTTATTTTTTTTATTGTTGGGGATTCATTGAGGGTACAAGAAACCAGGTTACACTGATTGTATTTGTTAGGTAAAGGCCCTCTTGCAATCGTGCCTTGCCCTAAAATGTGTATCACACACTGAGGTACACCTTCCCTCCCTCCCTCCTTCCCTCTCTCTGCTCTTCCTTTCCCCCACCTCCGACCTCCTTCTCTTTCTCTCTGCTCTCCCCTTCCCCCACCATGTCATTTATTATCATTAATTGTCCTAATATCAAAATTCAATACATAGGATTCATGCTTTTCCATGAATGATTGTGATGCTTTACTAAGAATAATGTGTCCCACTTCCATCCAGGTTAATCAAAGGATGTAAAGTCTCCATTTTTTTAATGGCTGAATAGTATTCCATGTTAAACATATATCACAGCTTGTTAACCCATTCCTGGGTTGGGGGGCATTTAGACTGTTTCCACATTTTGGCAAATGTAAATTGAGCTGCAATAAACAGTCTAGTGCAAGTGTCCTTATCATAAAAGGGTTTTTTTCTTTCTGTGTAGATGCTCAGAGCATTGCAGGATCAAATGGGAGGTCTAGCTTGAGTTCTTTGAGGTTTCTCCATACTTCCTTCCAAAAAGGTTGTATTAGTTTGCAGTCCCACCAGCAGTGTAAAAGTGTTCCTTTCTCTCCACATCCATGCCAGCATCTGCAGCTTTGAGATTTTGTGATGTGGGCCATTCTTGCTGGGGTTAGATGGTATCTCAGGGTGGTTTTAATTTGCATTTCTCTAATAATTAGGGATAATAAGCATTTTTTCATATGCTTGCAGTCATTTGTCTGTCTTCTTTAGAGAAGATTTTATTTATGTCTCTTGCCCATTGATATATGGGATTGTTGGCTTTTTTCATGTGGACTAATTTGAGTTCTCTATAGATCCTAGTTATCAAGCTTTTGTCTGATTTGAAATACGCAAATATCCTTTCCCACTGTGTACTTTGTCTATTTGCTTTGGTTGTTGTGTCCTTAGCTGTACAGAAGCTTTTCAGTTTAAGTCTCATTTGTTTATTTTTATTGTTGTTGCAGTTACCATGGCATTCTTCTTCATAAAGTCTTTCCCCAGGCCAATGTCTTCTAGTGTTTTTCCTATGCTTTCTTTGAGGATTTTTATCATTTCATGACTTAAATTTAAATCCTTTATCCATCTTGAATCAATTTTCATGAGTGAAGAAAGGTGCAGGTCCAGTTTTAGTCTTTTATATGTGGATATCCAGTTCTCCCAGCACTATTTATTAAATAGGGAGTCTTTCCCCCAGTGTATATTCTTGCTTGTTTTATTGAAGATTAGGTGGTTCTAAGATGTTAGTTTCATTTTCTGGTGTTCTATTTGATTCCAAATGTCTATGTTTCTATTTTTGTGCCAGTACCATGTTGTCTTGAACACTATGGCCTTAGAGTATGGCCCCAGCTTTGTTTTTATTACTAAGAACTGCCTAAGCTATACAGGCTTTTTTCTGGTTCCATACAAAATGCAGAATCATTTTTTCCCAATCTTAAAAGTATGATGTTAGTATTTTAAATACAGATGGCATTGAATCTGTAGATTGCTCTGGGAAGTACAGACATTTTAACAATGTTGATTTTTCCCAGCCATGAGCATGGTATGTTCTTCCATTTGTTAATATCCTCTGCTATTTCCTTTCTTAGGGTTTCATAATTTTCTTTATAGAGGTCCTTCACTTCTTTTGTTAGGTATATTCCTAGGTATTTCATTTTCTTTGAAGCTATGGTGAAGGGAGTTGTGTCCTTAATTAGCCTCTCATCTTGGCTGTTATTGGCGCATATCCTGAGACATTACTGTATTTTTTGATGACTTTGAGGTGTCTTATGGTTGAATCTTTGGGGTTCCCTAAGTATAAGATCATATTGTCAGCAAAGAGGGAGAGGTAGACCTCTTCTGCTCCCATTTGGATGCCCTTTATTTCCTTCTCTTGCCTGATTGTATTGGCTAGAACTTCCAGCACTATGTTGAATAGTAACGGTGACAGAGGACAACATTGTCTGGTTCCAGTTCTAAGTGGAAAAGCTTTCAGGTTTACTCCATTCAGTAAAATATTAGCTGTGGGGTTGTCATAGACCAGTTTAAGAAATGACCTATGCCTATACTCTTCGGTGTTCTAATTAGAAAAGGATGCTGAATTTTATTGCATGCTTTTTCTGCATCTATTGAGGGGATCATATGGGCTTTGTTTTTGCTTCTTTTGATACAGTGAATAATGTTTATGGACTTGCGTATGTTAAACCTGCCCTGCATCTCTGGGATGAAACCTACTTGATCATGATGTATGACTTTTTTTTTTTGAGACAGAGCCTCAAGCCTCCCCCTGGGTAGAGTGCTGTGGCTTCACAGCTCACAGCAACGTCCAACTCCTGGGCTCAAGCGAGTCTCCTGCCTCCGCCTCCCAAGTAGCTGGGACCACAGGCGCCCACCACAAGGCCCGGCTATTTTTTGGTTGCAGCCGTCATTGTTGTTTAGCGGGCCCGGGCTGGATTCGAACCTGCTACCTTAAGTGTATGTGGCTGGTGCCTTATCCACTTGAGCCACAGGCGCCAAGCCAATGTACGACTTTTTTGATGATAAGCTGTAATCTACTGGCTAGGATTTGGTTGAGAATTTTTGCATCTATATTGATTAGTGAAATTGGTCTCAAGTTCTCCTTTTTAGGAGAACTTTTAATTGGGTCTTTTCCTAGTTTTGGTATCAGGGTGATGTTTGCTTCATAGAACGTGTTGGGAAAGATTCCTTCCTCCTCAATTTTTCGGAATGATTTCTGCAGTATGGTAATAAGCTT